AAAAAAAAAAAAAGGCTGAAAGTAAACTTGCCCTAAGTATCTCAAGTGGAAAAGGTACATTAGCATCCTTCTCTCTTTTCCAAATAGGAAAAAAAAAAGGATTCAGTTTTTATTATCCTAAAGAAAAGGATGATAATACATAAGTGGAAAATTAGACAAAAATAGTACTAAAACCATAATTAATCAGTGGTTTCAATTGCTAAAAGTTTATTACTTTTAAAATGTTTTAAAATTATATATATTTATATCTATATATATATATATATTCTATCTTATAAATATATATAAAAATAAAAAAAATAAATAATTTATATATAAATTTTACACCTCCATATCCTAATTATATTGTATCCCCTTACAAGTATTTACCACATAAATACATATACATAATCTCATTTTCGAAATAGAATCATTTAACACACACACATATATATATATATGTGTGTGTGTGTGTGTGTGTGTGTCCGAGTAAAACCGAGTTGACTTGTCCCGGCCAAATGGGTTAATTGTTAACAGGTTCATCAGACCTGGTAAAAAAAAAAAAAAACACCGAGTAAAATTGTCCACAGCAGAGTACATATGTATCAATTGCTTTGTTCATTAACTTGATAATGTTTATTATCGATAAATTTTAAATATATAACAATTTATTTTGTTGTATTTATGAATCCCGTGTCTTATCAAATAAGCCATATTAATATAACACAATTAAAAGGAACAAACTGGGAAAACAGTGACGTCTAATGACTCAAACTGCCATATATATGACCAGTGACTGCCTAAATATGATCTCAAAATAGAAGGCTACTAATTGCAGAATTTTTCCGTACAAAACATGTTATGGCATTTGGGTGCAGCTTTGATATACCAATATTCAGTCCATTTGACGCTCATATTCATGACCGTCCTTTAGTATTCTCTTCAGAACTTTGAAACTCCAACAATTATTATCGGGAAAATTTCAAAAATGGTCCATCGTGTTGGTCATTTTTCAAAAAAGATCCATCATACAGGACGTCTTGAAGAAAAGATCCACTAACTTGCCACTTTAATTAGAATTCATACAAAAACAAAGATAGTGTACTAAAAGTAATCATCAGTTTAAGTACAATATGTTGACTATTGTACGTGTTCGGATTAAAAGTGACAACTTAATTAGTGGGTCATTATTGACGACACACTATATGATGAACCTTTTTTTTAAAAATGATCAACATAGTGTACTAAAAATAAAATTTAACCAATTATTATTAGTATCCATAACACAAAAAAAAAAAAATGTATAATTCTATTAAATATACATTGACACTATAGAGAACATGAATCAATTTCATGTAAATATCCAACAAGTTAAACAAAATTTGTGATTCCAAAATTTTGTCAAACTTTCAATTTAGTTGAATACTAGAACTGTTTATATATGAAAATTAAACTATGGAGTACTTAATAATTTCATTTAGATATTATATACATAAGATACTGTAGACATATTCAGAATGTTTGGCAATTTGAAATAGGGAGTCCCCGAACAAGTCTACAAGGGCCATTGGGTAGAGGACAATTATTTGAACGAGTATTAAATCTACTTTATTTCCATTCAAGGCCATGTTTCTTTGACTGTATGACCAACATGTCCCTTTCACTAATAAAGTTGATCTGAAACCCTATCTCCCTCCTCTTATTCTTTTCTCTATTTTATATTATATTTATATACATTTTTATTATTATGTCGTTTGTATATATTATAAACTCAGTATAACAATTTTTCCCTAATTAAATGATTCATTTGAGGGCAAAATTTTAAAAATGGTCCATTATGTTGGCTATTTTCCGAAAATGGTCCATCATATAGGGTATAATCGATAATGGTCCACTATATTATTACTTTTAATCAAAACTCGTACAAATGCCAACATAGTGGACTAAAAGTGACTAAAAGTTTTAATCACTTTTAGTCCACTATGTTGGCATTTGTACGAGTTTTGATTAAAAGTGACAATATAGTGGACCATTATTGATGACACCCTATATGATGGACTTTTTTCGAAAAATGGTCAACATAGTGGACTAAAAATGAAATTTAGCCTTCATTTGAGCCTTATCAGTATTTCACCTTTTTTTTTTTTTTTTTTTTTAAATAAGTAATTCTTATCTAGTTATAGATTCTAACACGGTCTTATATTCTTTTAGTACTTTCTCATGCTTTGATGACAACATAAATTTTATCATTTATTTGTCTAATTATAAGTTGATTTTTAAATTAAAATATATATTTATACTATATATTTTACTGCGAATATCATTTTTATTTTATTGTATTTTTTAAGTTATGATAATTTTATGTGAAATATATATGTATATAATGGAGAAATACGATTTTATAATGACATTACACATGCTAAAAAACAACTATATCTGCTGCATATATAATTTTATCCGGCATATAAATGATCACACTGTTATAAAACTAGAGATATAAAAAAATATTATAAAGCTAGAGAGAAAGAGAGAATAGAGAAGATGTATTCACTTGATTGATTTTCATTACAACTGAAACTCCTATTTATAGGAAAACTTCTGATGGCATAATCGTAATAATACAATTACATCAGGGGCAAAATAGTCATTCACATATAATATTTTATAATAAAATTAATTTAGGTTGATTGTGGTTGTAACCACCAACCATATTCTAACACTTCCCCTTGAATGACTATTTTTAAACACATTTTAATCATTATTTGAACAAAGCCTAATCTGAACATTTTGAAGTGTATCTTGTAGCCATCAGAAAAACCCGGTGGGACAAAACCTGATTATCGTGAAATCATAATATTGCTTTCTCAAGAAAAACCCAGTGGGACAAAACCTGAGTATTGTGAAAGCACAACATTGCTCCCCCTCAAATAGATCATCTTTAGTGGAGTATCCACGTGCTGCCTCGTTAAAACCTTATTAGGAAAACGCAGTGGGACAAAATCCTAATGACAGAAAAAGAGTACACTATTCATGTG